GGTCGAGGCGGTCGAGGCGGCGGCTTTGGCCACAAATGTGAGCTGCGAAGCGCCATAACGCGCCGAGTTACCAGATTCATCAATGAATTTATCAGTTTTTATAGGCAATTTATTATTTATTGATGGCAATGCGAGTCTGCCAGCCCGCCGCAGTGTGGCAACGTCTGCATAAAGTCTATCCATCTCTAGCCATATCTAGCATACTTTTCAGAGCGAGGCATGTGCAGAGCCAGCTATGTGCAAGTTACTGGCAACAGATTTTGGACGCTGCGCTTGTTTATGGCACTTTTCGCTTCACTTTTTGTGAATGATGCTCCAAAAAAACAAGCATGACATATTCATATGTGCCAGTCTGCGTGTGTGTGCGTATGTGTGTTCAATGTAGTTGGCAACGTAAAGAAAAGAAATGGCGCAAGAAAACGTGCAGAAAAATAGAACTTTGAGTCAATGACTGTTATCCAAAACTTGGAGTCGCATTTGGTTTGACTACAGTTATGCGAATATAATGAAGCCACATAATGGCGCACCACCCCTCACTCTTGAGTGCCGCAAATTGTTGCATACCACTTGCTGCAATCAAGTATACGCCGCTTGGCCAGTTGCCCATAGCTCAGAGCTATTGGTATGTTTGTCTGCCTGATTTGAGGTTGGCAACAGTTTGTGTTGCCGGGCATTTAGTTGGATCGAATGTTAATGCTATTTGCGTGTGGCCGTGGCATATTAATTATTTATAATGGCGCATTGATTATTGAAAAGCATAAAATAAGTTATGAATATTACAATCTGCGTGCGAGCCTCTAAATTACAATATGACAAATGGCGGCCACAGCGAAAAATATTATATATAATAAATTACAAGATTTAATTCAATATGAAACATAGCACTGCAGTCGGGTACAGCCGACCGCCCAATACCCTGTTCAAAGTGCAAGTGCAAATCAGACGAAAAGTGTCGACTAGATTATTAGATTGATCAGATTAGATCGTCTTTGAATTGGTAGGAGTTCATAAGGCCAGATTCCGAACTGTGTAACTTCGAGTCTGCATAGAAACAAACGAAAAATTTGATTGATTTTTAAGTTTCAGAAAGAAAGTATTGTACTCGATGCTAGAGTATATTAAATAAATCACAAGTAGCGTTCATATACAGTCTTATACATATTTACTAACCAGTTCGCATATGCATATTTAAATATTACGAAATGCATTAATGGTTAAAATATAAATATTGATAATATATATGCTTCATAGCCATCGGGCTATTAAAATACCAGCAACAAAAATACCATCAAACTCTACAAAAACATTTTATAAAGATATGTAACGAAGCGAAAGCAAATAAAAACAATACAAATAAAAGTGCTCTAGTGGAATGTGGACGACAAGAAGATACCCTGTATATCTGATCTAGCTACCGAGCTATCGATGATTCGAAAAAACTCGTTCTGCGTAGACCATGCATTCCAAATGTAAGGTCGAATGTCTCTAATAGTGTCTGCAACCCGTTTGCAATTGGTACAGGGTATACAAATTAAACAAATAAAAATTAATATACAATATTTAAGTGCGCAAGGCAACCAAAGGCAACAGCCAAGCAAACAAACACGCACACACTTGCACACACACACACAAGCACATGACAAAAGGAGAAAAAAATTTAAATAAATAAATAAATGTAACCCCAAAAAGACACAAAGTGGATGACCTGATGAGGTTGGGGCTCTCATCAATGCGACCCACGCGTTGTTCATTATGCGATTCGAGCGAATTTTTGTATATCTTTCCAGGGTATACATGGTATTTTGTTTGTGTGAGTTATCTCGAAAGATGATTATTGGCCACTTAAATACCTTAAATCGGCCCATTAACCTTTGCCGTTTGATGTACCCAGAAAAATTTCCACAAAAAGCTTGTAGTCTCCAAGAGGTGCATACTCATATCATTATTGCTTGATCTCCCACTGATCAGCAATTGACTCAGCTATGGCTATGTATTCATATAGTTACTTACTAAGTATTGAAATTGTTAGGATTAAAGAGCATGCACGCTCATTTATTGAATTATTCAGCTGACCACCTTTTCAATTGTATTATCTTAGCCCATTTTAAAGAGTTCAAATGTGCTAGCCAAATAAATTTCAATTTCATTTCAAATGAACTTAATGCGCGAATGATTATGATATTGAGTTCGCAGCTGCTGGGGCAATTTAATTTGGAAATGAATTCAAGCTGAGGTATCCGGCAGTCGAGAGATGCGCTCAGGCTTTCATACAAACAGCTGCAATAAAAACAAAGGTGTGCAGCAGACATCGCGGCGCCAGAGCATTGCCAGACCAGCGCGTCGGACAGACAACTGGCATAATTGCATGCTCACACATCAGGCTGGCAGACTGACAAACAGGCAGATGGACGGACAGATGGACAGATGGAGGGACAGACGGACGGGCCACTTCGTCCGGGGACTCATTAGTATGCACACAGGCGGCCTATTATTTTTAGCGCTGACGCGGGCGACGACCAACTGGCCAGCCGAGTTGTGGGGCGGGCACACGTGTCCGCTGCTTTTTCCAACGTAATGCAAAATTTTTTAAATGTATATTTGATGACTTTTGCGTTCGATGAACGAAACGGCGCAGGACGAACAACAACTGCAACAGGGACTGGGTCGGTGTAAAATGCCATTGCATACTTCAAAGGGCCTCTGGCACTTATTAATAACAATGCATGCTGCTGCCGGGTGCCTGCTGCATGCCACACGTTGCGCAATGCATGTACTCAAAAGCTCCTATAATTAAGGACCAAAAGCAATTTAAATGCAAATAATACACATGAGTTGCCAATTTACTCACAGCCGGCAACCTGCTAATTATACTATAGTAACACCTATAAAACCTATCTGATGGAGCTGTGTTGCAGTTGCATCTGCATCTTCCAGTGCTGCCAAGTGCTAAACAATTGCGGCCTAATTTGTTTGTCAACACTGGCAAAATGGCAACGACGACAGGCGGGAAAGAGATAGATCGAAATAGGAAAAAAATAGGGGAACACAGAAAGGAGAATGAGTTTGGACTCAGTTACGTGCTGCTGCATCCAACTGGGAAGTGACTCCATAAACACGTCTAACAGCAACAACAGCAACTGGGCGAACGTTATGTGACACACGGGAGAAATTAATGCTGCCAAAATGCGCCGGCTGCGCTCATTTTTGCTCTGTCGCTGTGGCACGTTCCCCAAACAGGCACAACAACAATAACGACAGCAACAAGGAGGCAACCAGGCAGCCGGGCACAACCTAGCTAAAAAAGAAGTTGCTGCCGAGATTTAGCCACAAACTTGCCAGCTTTAATACGAGCCAAACATGTTGCTGCTGTCTGCGGCGCAGACCGTGCCGTCTGCCCCTCCCTTTTCATCAGAGTATTTTCTTTTAATTTTAAGAAAGCACCAAGAGTCCCAATACCAGGTTCAGAGGCAGCATCAGCATCAGCATCAGTTCCTGCCGCAGCAGCAATCGTAATATCAATATGTAAGCCGGGGCAGACGCAATGTAACTGGTAATGCCAACGACAAATTCTGCTTATACCCTTGAGCTTAGCATAAAAAAGGATATATGTTTGGGAAACATAATAATGAGTCCTGGCATTTTCTTCATATTGATATAGGTCAGAATCACTAAGCTAGTCAGCTTTGTATCCCCTTTTATGAAATATTATAGTATCAGATATATATAACTGCCGGATTGATAAAAAAAAATGTTAACTTGTTTTTATCAAAGTTCATAATAACACCTTTAATAATAATCTATTTATATTCGGTTCACAGAGTAAAATCATACAAATATGGAATTCAAATCGAGTTTCTTTGCTATCAGTGCAGCTAGTACAGGGTATCATACAGTCATGCTGCAATTTTAACGCCATTCATCATCATTGTTTGTCGTTTTTTTTATTATTGTATCTCAAAGCTTAAAGTTGGCGCAGATGCCTTTAGAAAATTGTTATAATAACAGTGGCTGTAGGAGGGTTCATTTTGTTCAATGTTTATTTTTGTCTCCTTTGTGTAAAAGTTGCTGCTGTTGTTTGTTTTTTTTTTCTCTCTCTCTCGAAATAATGCATAATACAAGCGTCTGCAGGCGGCTGAGGTTGCATTGAGTATGCAACAGCATTCAAGAGCTGTTAACTTTCAATAGAATTATCATGAGGTGGCTAATTTACCGCCAATCTATAGGAAATATTGTGCTGCTTTCTGAGCTGAATGCTCCCTTCTTTTTGGTAATTTTGGCACAAATTTGGCAAAAAAAATTTCAGTAGACTATTCATTAAAAGCATTTACAACTCACCTAAAATTCTAAGAACAAATGCATTTTTCTACTTACAGCTCTCTTTAATAGCTGTTATCTTAACAGCAGTCTGTAATGTTAGCTCCTTTTATATGCAACTATAGATCTCAAAGGCATTAATTTGTATATTATTATATGTTGAGGATATAGTTATATAGATATAGAGACTCTCAACTTCAAATATCACGCTACTGTGATCCTCGACTAAAACAATATTAAATACGAGCCCTTCGAGCTCTGATCGTCGGTTTTCAATTGCCAAAATGATTGGGTCATTTTGAAAACTCAGCTACCGTGGACTTCTATTTAACGGCATGAATTCCTCAATTTAAATAATTTGTAGAAATTACTCTCGTATTTATTTCCTCACGCTTCCTTAGTCTCGTGCATATGTCTTCTGGGCAGAAATTTGTAGTAGGATTACAATTGTGAATATTTATCAATTGATTGCCGGCATCCACTTGCCAGAAGCAGCCAGCATTTGGCAGGCGAGGGATGCTCCCACTAAGATCTCGGTGACAAATCTGAGAGCATCGATTTCCCTGCTGCAACTGCAGCTGCTGTTGTCGATGGCTCAATTTGAGTTGTGCCCCAAACTGAGCGTATACGCAAAGTCTAAATACACCACTGTTTAAATGCTCAACTCTTTTTTTTTCTCTTTGCAGGCGTACGACTTGGTGAGGGCAGCTCAATAGCCGCTTCGAATGCGCCATGTCCACCGGAAATGTTTCGCTGCAACAACGGTAAATGCATAACGCGGCACTGGGTGTGCAATTACCAAAAGGACTGTGACGATGGCGAGGATGAGATGCAATCGTGTCGTAAGTAAAGGCCCCCTTCAGTAAGGTCAAATCAAACAACTGACTTCCTGTTGCTTCAATTTCAGCGCCGCCCGAGTGCGAGTCGCCACAACTGAACTGCGGCCAATATGTCTTCAATAAGACGTACTGCATTCCCCAGAACTATCGCTGTGACATGATCGAGGACTGTGAGGATAAGTCGGACGAGGCGCAGTGCAGTAAGTATTGAAAATATTTATACAAATTGCTCTCCCAGCAAGCGCAGTTTACAAGTTCTTCTATTTGTATGCCCTCGGCTGTCGTCTCCTTTTCAATGCAAATTTGTTGAGTCAACAAATATTTGTGAGCATATCTTTCGCACTGCGCTACACTGCAGCGAGTTGTTCCACCTCTGGAACCCTAAACTCATCTCCACACCTCCACAATCCCCATTAAATTTACAGTTCATTTCAGTTCAGTTGAGCTCGGAGTTTTGTTCGCTTCAGTTTGGGTCGTGTGTGCGCGCCAACAATTTGCTTAGCAAAATGTTTACATTTTATTATACCAATTTTATTTATGCAAATTTTGCCAAATTCACACACACACATGCAGACAGACCGCACTTTGTTAGAAGTTAGCTTTTGGCAATCGCAGAATCCCCCAGAGTTGGCAAAATCCAAAGTTAAGTGTGCGTGTAACCAAGGTGCGCACAGCAAAGCCAAAACCATTTGGTTCTGCTTATGAAAAGAGTAAAAAGAGACAAGGGCAGCTTACATGAGGGGCGGAGATCAGCAAACATCCATTTTTTATATATGTGCTGAGTGCTGAAAGTCAGCAACCCACAGCTCAGACAATTTAAGAATTCAATTTCAAATAAGCTTTTCAAAATAACTGCAACGACACCCCTTTGCACATTTTCTGTTTGGAAATCTTAAGTAGTTGCATAACAATGTTATCATGAAGGCAGAAATCCGGGTAAGAACCAAACCGGCTTAAGCCCGAAATTCCAATTTTGTATATTGACATAAGCTGAACCTTAAGCCAGATTAGCAATTAAAGAAAAGCCAAATACCTGAACTGAACCATTTTTATTTTTGGGTAATTGAAAATTACCTACAAGGGCCTGACTCAGAATGCATATGGCAGCACTGTAGCTTATTATTGTTAATGCCAGTTATTTGTTGTAAATAATAACAAATGAAATAAACAAATATTGACATAGAAAATTGCTGCTGATATTAAACCGTCAGTTGGACTGGAAAAATTATGTTATACATGTTGTATGTTATAAATTAAATTAATCTTTGGAATATTGTAAAATATGGGAGAACAAAGGATCTAACCAAAACTTCGGTTCATAGATGTGGAAAAGGTGATTCACAAACCGAATCCTAAGACAAATCGAACCTTTTACTTGGTTTTGCAGTCTTCGCTGTAATAGAAAGTGAATATTTTTTTGGTCCTCTAAAATTGGTCCACTTCAATATTGAAATATTTTACTGCAGCAGATAATGGGATCAATGCGAAGCTGTATCAAGACAGCTTCAAAGCTTAGGCTTAAACAATTCAATAGAAATTTCCACGTTTCTATCGGCTCAGGTCCATCTGATGCCTAATTGAAATCACATTTTCTTTTTAATCAATCGCACGCCAAGTCGATGGTAGCTTGTCTTCAGATGCAAATCCTGAGAGCTGCCCAATGCTTACACTAGACTCGAAAAATGTAATGCATTTTGAAGGGCTTGTGCTTGACTGGGCTTTGGATGGGTTTAAACGTTTTACTCGGCTCCAGCTCCCGGCTCGTTGCATCTTCATCTTAAGCTCGAAAGGAAAACTCTAGTGCTCTTAGTCGGCAGACCGTGTGCGGCACATTTTGATTAAAACTTTGGCCCACACACACACACACACACACAGACAGGCAGTCAGAGGGAGAGCAAGTTAGGGTGGGCAAGTAGGTGGAAGCGAAAGCCGTACAGGAGGACGTTGCCGGGCGTGAGTGCAAAGGCCAGCTGCATTTATTGCTTGTTATTTAAGATTTATAAATTTAAATATATTTGAGCGGCCAACTCCTAAGTACTCCGTTGCCTTTACAACTTTGCTTAAGCTTTGACTGACGCTAGACAAACGCGCACAACTTTGTCCTCGATGTGCCAGTCCTTGTCCGCTCCTCGTCCTTGTACGCGTCTGTAGTGTACCAGACAGCGTTGCTCCTTGTTGTAGTTGTTGCTGATGCTGTCGTTGTCGTTGTTTTTGTCGCTGTTTTGGCTGCTGCAAGATGGCCAATTTGTTGGAAAGCAGCGTTTTGCTCGTTCCGCGTCTCGTGCGCCTCTATAGGCATTGGCTGGCGCAAGATCAAGTTTAAATTTCATTTTAATTTAATAAGACGCAAGCAAAACTCTTTTTGTCTAAAGCTTTCTCATTCTATACCCTTTTGAAATGGTGCAAAAGTAGGGGCATATGATAGTTGTGCAAATGTTTGCAATCTAGGCTGATCCGACCTCATAAACAGCTGAGTCACTTTATCCATCTCCTGTCCTGTATCTCTTTCTCTTTCTCTCCCTCTCTCTCTCTCTCTCTCTCTCTCTCTCTCCTCTCTCTCTCTCTCTCTCTCTCTCTCTCTCTCTCTCTCTCTCTCTCTCTCTCTCTCTCTCTCTCTCTCTCTCTCTCTCTCTCTCTCTCTCTCTCTCTCTCTCTCTCTCTCTCTCTCTCTCTCTCTCTCTCTCTCTCTCTCTCTCTCTCTCTCTCTCTCTCTCTCTCTCTCTCTCTCTAGCTGCACGCACCTATTACCTTTATTGCCAATTATCGCCCATGTACCGAAAATCGATAAATATCTATATCGAGCCTATCTCTCTGGTTTTTGAACAGAGCATATTTTACACTTTGAGAATGTTTAATGTAACCACTCCCTAAGTTGAGTTAAATTGTTGATACATTACATTGATTTTTGTTATTTACGTACATTTTAATGTAACTCCTGTAAATTATCAGATCGATCGGCCAATTTCCACAGAAGATATTTGAAGAGCATAAATACGGGGTATATTGTGAATGTGACTCATTGTTGTTTGTGTGTTGATTGTTGTCTTAACTGCATAACAATAAGAATAAATAAATACCTACCCTAAATTTAAGACAATTTCAGAAAATATTTTTGTTGTTAAAAAAGGATTCCCATATCTAAAATTAACGAATCCTCTGGCGATTGTGGCCCATAATTAGGGTACACATTCTTTTCGAGATAAATACTAATGTGTGTCGGCTAAAAGCTAAGTGCAGAGTGTCTTTAAGTCGAGCAGCGGCTAGTTTACACTGTCTCTGCTCGTGTCTGTCTCTTACAATAATTTATCGCGCTTAAATGGCGACAAAATGTTCGCTCTTATTGCGTTCTTAACTTATTTATTTTGCGTACGTGTCAACGCGTCGTCTCTGAATGCTTCTCCCCGTCTGCGAATTGTTTGTGCTCAATCTGCCAGGGGCTGTGTGTGTGTGTGTGTGTGTCTGTGGGTGTTGATGTGTGTTTGCTCTGTGGGTGTTGTCTGCGTCTCCGACTCTGTCTCCGCCTGCATCTCCATTTGCATTTGCGTGCGCCTTTGTTTGTTTAATTTATGGCATATAAATATTAGAGCAAGCTTATTTCAACTATTTAATTACTTCAGGTGTGCGTTAAGTTGTTTGTTTTGCTCCTGGAAATTAATGTGAGCTTTTCTCCCTGCTGCTTTGCTGCTTTGCATGCTTGCCACGCACCGCAGCACTATCAAAGCCACCACAAGCTGAGCCTCAGGCACACTAATAGTCTTACAACAGCAAAGAGCAGAGCATTGCAAAAAAAAAAGACAAATAAATTTACTTTCTGCGAGGTCAGAGGGTGCACCAGCATCTGTCAAGTTACAGCCAGCAGTAGCAGCAGCATTGAGTGTTTAATTAAATGTCCTTATGCACAAGCATGTACGATGTGGCGGGAGCGGGAAAGGGGTGTGGGCTAGATTGCTTGCTTTAAGTAGTTACACGACATGCAGCTTTGCTCCTGCCATCAGTTGATGGCACTGCGTCAGTGGAAAAGCAACTCGGCAACTGAAATGGCTTCGGCCACCCACCTGAGCCGCCCTAAGACAACCACAAAGGAAACGCGCGCAAGAAAAAGGTACAGAAAGAGAACTGCTCTTAATTGCAACCTGGATTTCGATGCTGAGCGAGGCGGGCCAGCTGCCTGCACAGGCGTAAGCGTAAAAAGTGCGTAAAAGCAGGCGGCAAGCAGCCGCCTACCCAGAAGGTGGGCACAACAAAAATGATCAACTCGTCTCTTCGTTGTTTGCCGTGCCAAATAAGTACCAGGAGTAGATACTTCTGGCATTCCAGCCACTACACTTTCACTAAACGTTGCTGCCGCATTAAACTCACTCCCCTTCGGTCTCCCCACGGCTGTCGTAAACTGTCGTTGAACCCGGCGAAAGTTGCCAACGACTGACGTTTATTTGACTGCAGCTGTCAGGCCAGTTAGACGTGCAGAAAAGCTCTAAGCCATGGCCCAGAGGCGTTGGACATTGGACGAGTGGCTTACGGATGGGCTGGCTGGGTGCTTGTATGGCTGGTTGCCTGTTTGGTTGGGTGCTTGGTTTGCTTCACTGGGGAGCAACTTGTCGCGCGTAATTACGCAAACCAATTCAGCACACACCAATACACGCATACCAGTCAGAAGTTGGGCATAGTGAAACATTTGCCGCCTGCAATAAACGTTAATGCACAGCTGACACCCCCGACCCCCTTCATCTAGATACGCCCATACTTACCAATTAGAAAGTGTTGCACGGCATGGCGCTGGGCTTGAATCGAGATGTAAGAGGCAAATGGAAAGAGGCACGGTCCAGGGGCCATGGGGCACTTCAAAGTTCTGCCGCTGTCCATTGGCCCGCCCCCAACCTTCTCCCTCGCCCACGTTGCTCCCTTCGCTGTGTTTATAAAGTGCCAACAACGTTGCTGCCCTCGCAGCCAGTTAAAGTTTTTGTGTTCAACTTTCTGCGAACTGCAAAATGTGAAAAATGAAGCAGCAGTCGAGCGGCACCCGATACCCGGTCCCAGGCAACAGCCAGCAGTTAACGTCCGGCAGCCCACATTCAGGCTTCAACATTTTTATGACCTTGCACAAAAGTTGCAGCCAAGCAGAGCGGCTGCAACCACCCATACAACCACCCACTCGTTTGTCATTATGATTTGTTTTTAATGTAATGCAACAGCAGCGAAAGCGAATTTGCAACAAATTGTGCGCGTTAATCTTGTCAATGGCCAAACGGAGCAACTAGCTGTAAATGCAACTGCAACTTCGGGTTTTACTGCCACTGCTACTGCTGTTGATGCCACGCGGTGGCATTTACGCAGCTAGCGTCTCGCCAATTTGAATAACTATGGCGGTAAACGGGGCCAGCAGCGGCAGCAAATCAACGTTAAGGTGCGTGACACACACCTTATACACTTGCTTGGGTATTTCAATTTTGTCACGAAACACTTGTCTGTCTGCAAACACGTCTCTCTATCTTAAGGCTAAAGCTACAATCATTCTGGCGAATTGGCCTGATCGTACTCTACCGTACCGTTCATATAACCAAAATAATTTCAACATAGGAATACGATATCAAAAAACTCTTGAAGAAGAATCTGTCGAAAAATATGTTTTTGCATGGAAAAATGTTGAGTTTTTCATATTTTAATATTGTCATCAAACTCAGAAATTACAATCTATATTATCCTTCGTTCGGTCTACTATATAACATGGCTTGTGTATATAGAAAATAAAGAGTCTTTAATCTTCAGCGTGCCCAAGAAGGCGGTTCTCTCTTATGTTTTGCCTTTCTTGTCAAGAGCAAAGAATTCCTCAAAAATAAATACACAAATAAATAAGGATGTTGTGTTTTATGAGTCACTGTCATATGCCGGGAAGGGTATTTATTCTTCAGCATCTCAACAAGGCATTCGCTATGTCTTGTTTATGATTACCTACCACTCCACAGACGCTTAAGCTCATCCTGCGCCCATCTGCCTCAGTCCGTCTCAGTTTTAGCTTCGGCAAAGTTGGACTAGGTGCTCACATTGTCAATAGAGGAAGGATGTTGAGTAATGAGGGGGACGGGGTTAAGTAGTAACGACAGGAATCATGGCTACCTGCACGCACACACGCACGCACACACACACAGAGAGACTCAGACAGGCACACATTTTATTGTTGTGCTACAAAAGTTTCTGCTGCCGGGGAATATTTATACAACTTGGCTTGTTTAACTTGCACTAATTAAGTTTGCTCTGCTACACTTGGCTGCCCCAGTGCGCCGTTAATGTGGAGCAGCAGCTACAACAGCAGAATATAACAACAGGAATAACAGGAACAACAGCAGCCAAAGCGCAGCTTTTATGGGAGTGGGTGGTAAAAAAAAAAGCAAAAAAGAAGAATATAAACCTTCGGAAAGTTTATTATGCCTACGCCAAAAGTAACTTAAAAGTGGCATAGATCATCATCTCCAACTCTCCAAATATCTCTATCTCGCTCGCTCTAAGTATCTGCGTGTTGTCTCTGTTGGCGAGCCGTTTAATCCGGACGCCCTATTGCCAGCACATGGCGCATTATCTTGGCATTGCTTAAAGCTAAAGCCCGAGCGTGAAGCAGCTCTAATTTTGCCACAACTTTCGCTGAGCAATGGCCACCTCTTTCTTGTAGCCAGCTTGATGGACTGTGCCCCTGTACCCCTGCCCCTAACCGTGTCGCATTCGGGACGGGTGCTGCAACCAACTACTCGATAATTTATAGCACTTTGCCTGCCAACTCACAACTCAAGTGCACAATACGAATACAGTGGACGCTCGAAAACTTGAACTTTGCGAAATTCGAATATGCCAGCATATGAAAATCAAGGCTACGAATCCAAATTGAGGGTGAGATTGAGGGTACGATAAAATGTCGGTTTGAGAATCCGAATGCTTTAAAGCCCGGATTTGGTTCTATTTATTTATTTATTTAATTTTAATAAAAACAATTCCATTTATTTTAAAAACATTTTACCTAAAAATTATTTATTTTCAGTTTAGCTTTTCAACACCTAGTATAAGTAAAAAATGTATCATATTAAACAATGTTTTTTTTTTGAGCAAAGAACTTTTAGTTATAAGAGTTCTCCGCAAATTGAATTATGTCTGAAGCCAAAGCATTTAAAATTGCGAGCAACCACTGTACAGCAAGAGTCTGGGTAAAAAGAAGCGGGAAGGGGAATGGGTAAGACAGACGAGCAGCGACAGCCGGACGGACAATTACGCCTGACATTTCTACAGCTCTATGCACTACGTATACGCCATGCGTGCCCAACCGTTCTCTATATGTGTGCGTATATTTATGTGTGTTTGTATGTGGGTGCCTGCTTCTGACAGAGGTCGCTCTAGCTTCATGTTGGCAACCAGAGAACGCCGCTTTTCCCAATGTCTGGCATCAAAATTTAATGTCTTTAGCAGCAATAGTTGAGCGCATGTATTTTGCAGGCATTTTTAAGTTCCCAGGCGCCTGCGGTGAGTCCAATCTACTCCCTGACGGCCTTCACACTCGACATGTGCGTCTTTGTATGTATGTGTGTGTGTGTATATATATATATTTGTTTGTGCACTGTTTGAACAATAGCAATGAATGGACGCATCAGGTCATGCGCGTTCAGTTTTGAAACTAGCTCCTAGGCATGAGCTTGGTCTTGGACATGGGCTTAGGTCCAGGTCAGCACCCAGGCCACCGCCTGCTGTGCGTCCATTCTCTTGGATCTCAGCTAAATTATTGCCCAATTGCAGCCCAAAGGCAGCGGAACAAGCAGGTCACACGCTCAATTGGCAGGCTTGCCTTTGAAGTGGGCAACCGGCAGCTGGCAACTGGCAGCTGGTAGCTGGTAGCTGGCAACCGGCGCTTCTCAGCGTGTTGACATAATGTAAATTTGATTAATTTGTGTTTGGAGCCAAACAGTTAAGCAGGCTGCCTATGCCAACGCAAGCTTAATACCCGGAAAGCAGGCTTCTCACTGTGTAGGAGTCCAATAACAACAATCAACGTCAATATCACACCTCCGGGCTTGTCTGTGTGCGTGAGTGTGTGTGTGTTTCAGATGAAGGCTAGTTGCTCTATAATTAAGTACAGTGACAGGGACAGTTCCAAATCACCCAACCTCGCAACTATGCCCACCCAACCACCCAGGCAAACAGACAATTAATTTATGTCCCAGCTACAAACTAGCTGTCAGACAAGGACAACAAAAAGCAACCTTAACTATAGGCGGCACCAAGACAGTGGGTCAAATTAACACTAAGCCAAAGACTTTCAATTTAATCATGTCCATTATATGTAGTATTTAAAAATATTATACCAACGTTTGGGTTCATGGTTAATGCTTCACGGTTTGGCACGGTTTGGCACGGTTTGGTTCGAAAAGTAAATCGGAGGGGCGATCATTTTTGCTTTCGTTTCCAGCCCTGGCTTTTTGTCACAAGAACTATCCATTCTGCCCATGGTATAGCAAAAAACGTATAAAATAGAAGGGTTTCCTCTCTTGAAAGTGTGCTACAATTTGATTTGATTTGGTTTACAAATTGCAGGGAACTTTGTATCTTTATTGTTCTTTTGCACAGTAATTAAATTGAAAGCCCGTTTTTGGTATATCCGTTCTTTGCCCCGCCTCAACACAAGATTTTATTTCATTTAATTTTGTTTTATTTTTTTTTCGTTTCAGATTATCGCAAGTGCCTGCACACGGACGTCTTTTGCAATGCGCCTGGTGGAGCAGCTCCTGCTGAGGGCAGCCGTCTGACTGGGCCGTGTGTGGCTAAGGAGAAACGCTGTGATGGCTACTTGGACTGCCGTACCGGACGCGATGAGGATGGCTGCAACGGGGTCGCCTGCCGTTTGGATCAATTTCGCTGCGCCAACGGTCAGAAATGCATTGATGTCTCGCAGAAGTGCAATCATCGCAACGACTGCGGTGACAACTCGGACGAACAGGGCTGCAGTGAGTATGAGATAGACAATTGATGAGACGGCATGCCTAACACAGGGTCTCTTCTGCTCCATTTATTCCCCTCGCTGCCTGCAGACTTCCCACCTTGCCACCATGCGCAGTTCCGCTGCACGAATGCGCTGTGCATTCCGTACAACTTCCACTGCGACGGGTATCACGATTGCGCCGACGAGAGCGACGAGGCCAACTGCACGGCCATCGCCTGTCCTGACAACAAGTTCCTGTGCCCACGTGGCGGCGTCAATGGTGCGCCCAAGTGTATCCTCAAATCGCAGCTGTGCGATGGCAAGCGTGACTGTGAGGATGGTAGCGACGAGGAGACGGCCTGCTGTAAGTATTCCCCGTCCCCAACCCCAATCTCACCCTCTTTAAATGAAACCGCTCTACAAATCATTCTTTCGCATGTATCTTGTAGCCATTGCCTCCTGTCCAGCGCTGAGCTGCGAGTTCAAGTGCGGCCCCTCGCTGACTGGCGGCGTCTGTTATTGTCGCCCAGGCCAGAGTCTGGCAGCAGACAATCGCACCTGCGTGGATTTGGATGAGTGCGCCGAGTGGGGCCACTGCGACCAACTGTGCACGAACACTCCCGGCAGCTATACCTGTCAGTGCGCTCAGGGCTATAGGCTGATGAACGCATCCAAGTGTATTGCTCCGGATGCGAACAATCTGCAGCTGATCTTCGCCCATGAGCGGGCCATTATGCGCATGTACGCCCACGACAGTGAGCCCAAGGTGCTCGCCAATGCCACTGCCGCCGCTGGCGTTGCATTCCACTATGCCCGCAACACGCTATACTGGTCGGACATCAAGACGCGGAAGGTACAGTCATTGCCGTTGGATGTACTCAATAGCGCCGTGGCGCCGTTGGATCAAACACTGCCTGGCACTTGGGCGCCTGTGGCTCTGGCCGTTGACTGGGTGGGTGACAAGATCTATGTTGCAGATCTAGTGGGCCAGAAAATCGATGTCTTTGAGCTAAGCGGCCATTGGCATGCCGTTGTGCTGGGCTCCAATCTAACCAGTCCCGCCGATCTGGCGCTTGACCCCACCTCTGGACTCATGTTTGTTGCCGATGGCGGCCAGGTGCTGCGCGCCCACATGGATGGAACGCACGCTCGCTCCATTGTCTCCGAGGCGGCCTACAAGGCCAGCGGCGTTACTGTGGATATAATTAGCAAGCGCGTCTTCTGGTGCGACTCACTATTGGACTACATCGAGTCGGTGGACTATGAGGGTGGCCAACGTGTTATGGTGCTGCGTGGACAGCAGGTGCCCAGCCCGTCAAGGCTGGCGCTATTTGAGAATCGCATCTACTGGACGGATGCCACCAAGCAGGGCATAATGTCCGTGGACAAGTTCGAGGGTCCCAGCTCCATTCAGGTAACCTACAAGGCGAAGGATATACGCGAGCCCAAGGGCATCATTGCGGTGCACGCGCTTAGCCAACCGCATGTGTCCAATCCTTGCGGCAACAACAACGGCGCCTGCAATCACATGTGCATCGTTACGGCCGTCAAGGGAGCGCCGACAGGTCTCGGCTTCCGCTGTGCCTGCCACACTGGCTACCAGCTGCAGACGGATCTCAAGAACTGTAAGCTTGTGCGCGAATTCCTTATGTATTCGCAGCAGCGCTTCATCAAGGGCAAGGTACTGGAACCCGTTATTGAGGGATTCAGTGATGCCATTCTTCCTGTTGTCTCCCGACGAGCCCGTTTTGTTGGTCTCGACTTCGATGCCCGCGATGAATTCATTTATTACTCGGACGTTCTACAGGATGTCATCTATCGCGTGCACCGTAACGGCACAGGCCGTGAAATCGTGCTGGCCTCACAGAATGAGGGTGTCGAGGGCTTGGCAGTCGATTGGGCCTCGAAGAATCTCTACTACATTGACTCACGCAAGGGCACACTCAATGTGCTCTCCACACGAAACGTGACGCACCGGCGCACACTACTGAAAAACCTGAAGCGGCCGCGCGCCATCGTCGTGCACCCGAACCGCGGCTACATATTCTTCTCGGAATGGGATCGTCCCGCTAATATAACCCGTGCAAATACCGATGGCAGCGGCCTTTTGGTGTTCCGCAATGTGACCCTGGGCTGGCCCAACGGTCTGTCCATTGACTTTAAGGAGGATCGTGTGTATTGGTGCGACGCTCTACTGGATCACGTGCAGCATGCCAACCTGGATGGCACGGACATCAAAACCATCAATTCGCGTCTGGTGCGTCATCCTTTCTCCATTGTGATACACAACGATTGGATGTACATTACGGACTGGCGACTGGATGCAATCATTCGACTCCACAAGCTGACCGGCGAACAGGAGGAGATGATGGTGCGCGAGCCGCAGACAAACCGACTCTACGGTGTGAAGGTCTACAGCCGCGAGGTGCAACGCATTGCCGAGACCCAGCCCTGCCATATCAATAATGGTGGCTGCCAAAAGATATGCTTTGCGATTCCCATCGCTCAGAATGCCAGTGAGTCGGCTGTAATGGCTAACCGCTTACAATCGCGCTGCTCCTGCCCCTACGGCGAACGATTGGCCGAAGACCAAGTCAGCTGCATTCCCGACCCCAGCGCCGAGCCACCCGTCCAGCCCTGCCCCAACCTATGGGACTTCACCTGCAACAATCAGCGTTGCATACCCAAGTCCTGGGTCTGCGACGGCGACGACGATTGTTTGGATAACAGCGATGAGGAGCAAAACTGTACAAGTAAGTGCCGAACTAAAGCCAGGATCTCACTGGTGGGACGCAGTTAAAAAGGGTAGAATAATATTATAAAGGTTTTCTAAAAATATATTTAACAGGTGGCATATATTAGATGGTTCGTTCGTCGATCTTAGAGCTTAAGACTTGACAGTCGTAATATGAGTTTTTGCTGACCATATGCAGATCACGTTGATTTTAAATTATTAATCATCGACATTCAGCTTAGTTTTTGTTTTTATATCTCGGAGATTATATAATTATGAGCAACTTGGGAGATGTTAGCTTTGTAATAGTTTGAGGGGCTGTAATCCTTTGGTGAGCAATAATTGATCTTCCCTGCCTTGTGAAGGCTGGAAGCTAAGCGTTGCTGCGTTTCTCGTATAGCTTAACCCACGAGTTTTTTATGAGGGAATAATTAGCTCTTCCACCAACACAAAACCTAACAAACAAATTCTCCATTGTTTTTACACAGAACCCACCTGTGGCTCAAACGAGTTCCAGTGCAAGTCAGGACGCTGCATCCCTCTCAACTTCCGATGCGATCAGGAGAACGATTGTGGTGACAATTCAGATGAGCTGGACTGTGGCAATGTAACGTGCGCCACCTCACAATTTGCCTGTGCCAATGGACGCTGTATACCCAGCATGTGGAAGTGCGACAGCGAAAATGATTGCGGTGATAGCAGTGATGAGGGCGACTTTTGTGCGGAGAAGACTTGTGCCAACTTCCAGTTTACGTGCCCAAGAACGGGTCATTGTATACCGCTGAGTTGGGTATGCGATGGTGACGACGATTGCTTTGACAAGCAGGATGAAAAGGACTGTCCGCCGATCAGCTGTCTTGCCAATCAGTTTAAATGCGCCGATTTGCGTCAGTGCGTCGAGGAGTCATACAAGTGCGATGGCATTCCGGACTGCAATGACGGCAGCGATGAGTTAGGCTGCCCCTCAATGGGTCCCAACCAATGCAACGTTGAGAAGCAATTCCGCTGCAAGTCGACCGGTCTTTGCATACCCATTGCCTGGCACTGCGACGGCTCCAATGACTGCTCCGACCACTCGGACGAGGAGGATTGCGGTCAGATAACCTGCGCCCAGAACTTCTTTAAGTGCAATAACACCAATTGTGTGTTCAAGGCCTACATCTGCGATGGCAAGGATGATTGCGGCGACAACTCAGACGAGGGCACCGAGCATGCCTGTGTACCGCCGCCTTTTAAATGTCCCCATGGTCAGTGGCAGTGCCCAGGCGTGACTGAGCGCTGCGTGAACATCACCTCTGTTTGCGATGATACGATCGACTGTCCCAACGGTGCCGATGAGGGAGAGGGTTGTGATTTGGCCGAGTGCGAGCATCAGACGGGTCAGTGCTCCAGTTTTTGTCAAAAAACTCCGAACGGAGCGCTTTGCGTGTGTCCCCCTGGTTCGGAAATCGGTCCAGATGGATTCACCTGCGTGGATACCAATGAATGCGATCCGCCGGGACTATGTTCGCAGCAATGCACAAATACAAAGGGTTCTTATTTCTGCTCATGTACGCCCGGCTACGTCCTGGGTCCCAATAAGCACACCTGCAAAGCAGTAAACCATACGGCTGCCTTCTTGATAATCTCCAATCGTCATTCCATACTTGTCGCGGATCTTAAGGAGCAGGGCCTGGAGCGAGTGCCCATCATCGTTGAGAACGTGGTAGCCACTGCCTCAAACATGCACACGGGCACCATTTTCTGGAGCGACATGAAGCTAAAGAAAATATCGCGACTTGATCATGGTATGGAACCGCAGGAAATCATCACCACGGGCCTAGATCTAGTTGAGGGCCTAGCCTATGACTGGATCGCACAGAACCTTTACTGGCTGGATAGCAAGCTGAACACAATTGAGGTGTCCGCGGAGAATGGTTCAAACCGCTTGGTCCTCGTGCGTGAGAATATTACACAGCCACGTGGTATGTGCATTGATCCCAGCCCCGATGCGCGCTTCATTTTCTGGACCGATTGGGGCGAGAATCCCCGGGTAGAACGCATCGGCATGGACGGCACCATGCGCAAAACGATTATAAATACTAAAATCTACTGGCCGAACGGCCTGACCCTGGATATTGCTACGAAACGTGTCTACTTTGCCGACTCCAAACTAGATTTTATTGACTTCTGCTACTACAACGGCACGGGACGTCAGCAGGTGCTGGCCAGCAGCCACTATCTGCTGCATCCGCACTCGCTTTCCCTTTTTGAGGACACGCTTTACTGGACGGACCGACAACTGAACCGTGTACTGTCAGCAAATAAGTTCCGTGGCAAAAACCAGACTGTCGTCTCGCACCTGATTAGTCAGCCGCTCTCCATACACGTGCACCACGCCTCGCTACAGCCCATGTACCCGAATCCATGCGCTCAAGCCCGTTGCCAGCATCTGTGTCTACTCAGTCCAAGCGCCAACGAGGGCTACTCCTGTAAATGCAAGCCTGGCTACAGGCTACTCAGTGAGGGTCGCTGCATTGAGGAGGAGAATCCCTACTTGATGGTCGTCAAAGGCACTCAAATTGTTGATCTGCCCCTCAACGGCGGTGATGCACGTGCTGGTGCATTGGCGCCTGTTATTGGTATCGAGAGCAGCACCGGCCTGGACTTTGACCGGAAGGGCGAGACCCTATATTGGGTGCAGGGACGAGAAAACGATGACGAGAACTGCACCATATATACCACGCCTTACGGTGGAGGCAACAAGACGCTCTTCCTGGGCATCGAAACCGGCATTGTTGGCGCACCCTATACCATCGCCTTCGACTGGCTGGGCCGTAATCTCTACATTGGCAACCGTGTGGCCAGCAATATCGAGGCAGTCCGCGTAGATGGTAAGCAAAAGTATCGTACTGTGATATTGGCAAACGATGGCAGCGAAACCTCCGTTTCTAAGCCGAAACAACTGGTCCTGGACCCCAGTGAGGGCAAGCTGTTCTGGATTGATGAAGGAGTACTCGAAGTCCCAGTAAAAATAGGCCGCGTTGATATGAACGGTCAAGATGCACGTGTTTTGCGCAAAGACCTCAAACATCCCGAAAGTATTGCTTTGGACATTGAGAAGCAGAGGATCTACTACAGCACCAGCCACTCGGCGTCTATCTGTTCTATGGACTACAATGGTGACGAGCACACGATCATACTCACCGAGAAGCAGGCCATCGCCCGTCCACGCAGCCTGGGCATTCTAGACCACCGCCTTTACTATCTGGACCCCGATTTCGAAAAGATTGTGCGTGTAGACTTGCCACGCGGCGATAATCCGAAGACCATTGTGGACAACGAGCACGATTTGCGCAGCATGATGATCTACAAAAAGCGCCCCCTAAAGCAGCATCCGTGCCAGACGGCTAACGGTGGCTGCAAACAGCTCTGTATACCCGGGCCCGCCGCCACAAGGACCTGTGCCTGCGGCATTGGCTACCACAAGGAGAATGAAATAAGCTGCGTTGAATACAAGACATTTGCCGTTGTCTCCCAGCTGGATATGATCCGCGGTTACAGCCTGCACGACAGCGCCGAGGCCATGCTGCCAATCAGCGGACCAGGCCATCACATCCTGCACGTAGACGTCATGTTCCGCGACCAATGGATTTATTGGGCCGAGTTCAATCGTGGCTATTGGAACGGTATATTCCGCTCACGACCCAACGGCACCGATCTGGAGCATGTGGTTAAGGTTGGAATTGGCAGCAACGGCATACGCGGCTTAACCATTGACTGGGTTGCCGGCAACATGTATTTCACAAACGTGTATCCGCATGAGAACTACGTGGAGGTGAGCTGGCTGGATGGCAGCAATCGCAAAGTTTTGGTTAAGACAACCAATGATGCGCCTCGCGAGCTGGCCGTTAATCCCATAAAGCGACTGCTGTACTGGATTGACTATGGACAGCATCCGGGCATTGGTAGGGCGCTGCTGGATGGCACTAAATGGCAACCACTGGTCACCTCGGATATCTCGATGCCGCGTGATCTGACCATTGACATGCAGACGCACGATGTCTTCTGGGTGGACTCGAAACTGGACACGATACAGAAGATCTCTTACAACGGCGCCAATCGGAAGATTATTCGTCGCGACTTGCCCAATCCCATGGGCATCGCCATTTTCCTGAATGATGTTTACTGGGTAGATCGGAATCTTATGACTGTGTTCAAGGCTTCCAAGCTTTTTGGCAATGATTCCGAGGTCACCCGCGTACGCACAAACTTGGAGAAGCTGCGGGACATTGCCATTTACGATATTAACAACCAGCCATCCGACGACAATAATCCATGCGCCCAACTGGGCAATGGAGGCTGCGACCAGCTCTGTTTCAGCTTCCCCCCAGAGCCCTCCAGTAAGAACTATCGCTGCGAGTGCGCTACGGGAAAATTGGGAGCTGACAGTCGCAAGTGCGAAACGGTTAATGAGTATTTAGTGTTTGCCACGCGTACAGAGATTCGTGCCGTCAACCTGGATCCGCACTCAACGGAGGTGCCTTTTACACCATTAACGAATCTGACCAATGTGGTTGGTCTGGACTTTGATTTTGCCGACAACCGCATGCTGTATACCCAGATCCGGCCGTGGGCCAAGATTGCCTACACCCAGGCCAACAAGCCAAGCCACAGTGATATTAATGTGGTGCTAAGTAAGGGTATTAATCCGGAAGGCATTGCCTACGACTGGACCCAGAATAAGATTTACTGGACTGACAGCTCCAATAACTCTATTTATGCCATGAATCTGGTGGGCAGCGAGCTGGTTATGATTGCGCGCGTCGAGCGCCCACGTGCTATTGTCTTGGATCCATGTAACGGCACGCTCTTCTTTACGGATTGGGGTCGCTTCGGAACCTCCGGCAAGATCTTCCGCACAACAATGGCAGGCTCATTGAAACGTGCCATTGTCGACAAGGAGCTGTCCCAGCCGAGTGGCCTGGCCATTGACTATGACGATCGTAAACTTTATTGGACGGATGCGGTGCGCGAGAAGATCGAACGTGCTGATTTGGATGGACGCAACAGGGAGCTGCTAGTGGCCGCCACTATTTATCCATTCGCTATAACCGTGTTCAGAGACTACATCTATTGGACGGATCTGCAGCTGCGTGGCGTCTACCGTGCTGAGAAGCACACGGGTGCCAATATGGTGGAAATGGTTAAGCGTCTGGAGGACTCGCCCCGTGATATACGCATCTTCAGCGCCGATCGTCAGAAGTGCAATGTAAATCCATGCACAATCAACAATGGCGGCTGTGCCCAGAGCTGTCATCCGGCACCGAACGGCAAGCCTGAGTGCAAGTGCGATGATAACTCCAAGGTGGTCAATGAGGGGCGCATGTGCGCGCCTCGAAATAACACATGCGAGGCCAGCAAGTTCTACTGCCAGAACGGCAAATGTATTTCGCGCATGTGGTCCTGCGATGGGGATGACGACTGTGGCGATAATTCCGACGAGGATCCCAACTACTGTGCCTATCATTCCTGCTCCCCCAACGAATTCCGCTGCAACAACGGTCGATGCATCTTTAAGTCATGGAAGTGCGATCACGAGAACGACTGCAAGGACGGGTCCGATGAGCTGGGCTGCAGCTATCCACCTTGTGTCGATGGTGAATTTACCTGCGCCAATGGACGCTGCATTCCGCAGGCACAAGTCTGCAATGGCGTTAACGACTGCAAGGATAATGCCACCTCTGATGAAACGCATGAGCGCTGCCCCATGAATACCACCTGCCCGCCCAACCATCTCAAGTGCGAGAAGACCAACATCTGTGTTGAGCCCTACTGGTTATGCGATGGCGACAACGATTGCGGCGACAACTCCGACGAGGATCCGCTGCATTGTGGTCAGCGTACGTGTCCGACGAACAGCTTCCGTTGTCCGAACCACCGATGCATACCAGCCACCTGGTACTGCGATGGTGACGATGACTGTGGTGATGGCGCCGATGAGCCGCCAGATTACTGCAAGTCCGAGGGTCGCACCTGCTTTGGGGATCTATTCACCTGCGACAATGGCAACTGCATTCCACGCATATATATCTGCGATGGCGACAACGACTGCTTGGATAACAGCGACGAGGACAACCGACACCAGTGCAGTAAGTTGCCCTTACTCAACAAGCCTTACAAATATTGATCAAATTGTTAGTGATTTGATTAAAGCAACCAAATCCAAGAAGAAATAGCTAAGTATTTATTTAAGCTAATTATTTCATTTTTTATTACGTTCCAGACGATCGCAAGTGTGACGAGGAAACGGAGTTCACATGCGTGGAAAACAAGTCCTGGCAGCGCGCCCAGTGCATACCCAAAAAGTGGATTTGTGACGGCGATCCAGACTGTGTGGACGGCGCTGATGAGAACACGACGCTGCACAACTGTGCTACCCAACAGCCCTGCGGCGAGGATATGTTCACTTGCGGCAACGGTCGCTGCATCAACAAAGTACAACCTCCTTAATCCATAACTAAAAGAAGAATCTAATTTGAAATAATCCAATTGCAGGGCTGGATTTGTGATCATGACAACGACTGCGGCGATGGCACTGATGAGGGCAAGTTCTGCAACTCCAAGTACAAGACGTGCTCACCGCTGGAGTTCACGTGCCAGAACTTCAAGTGCATACGCAATCAATACAGATGCGATGGCGAAGATGACTGTGGTGACCATTCGGATGAGGTGGACTGCAAAAAGGAGAACACTACCTGTGCCCAGGGACAGTTTGCCTGCACCAACGGCCAGTGTATCGACTACAGTCTGGTCTGCAACAAAGTGGCCGACTGCACGGATGAGTCTGACGAGCCGGCCCACTGCAATGTGGATGAGTGTGCCAAGGTCGAGATCAATCAGTGCGGTCACAAGTGCGTGGACACGCTCACCGGATACTACTGTGACTGTAACGAAGGGTATAAGTAAGTATCTAACTCAGAAACAAAATTGAATCGATTCCTTGTTAACCATTGCCAATTACTCTGTTTATCTCTTAAAGGCTCTTGGCCGACGGCAAGGCATGTGCGGATGTAGATGAATGTCTGGAACAGCCGGGTGCCTGCTCGCAGCACTGCTCCAACACGCCGGGCAGCTTCTATTGCAAGTGCGACGAGACCTACTATGAGCGCCAGAATGATGAGCACACGTGCAAGCGGAAGGACAACATTCCGCCCTGGCTGATCTTTACCAACAAGTACTACGTACGCAACATGTCTGTGGATGGCCATCAATATAACCTCATGCACCAGGATCTCATGAACGTGGTAGCCCTAGACTTTGATATCAAGGAACAATACATGTACTTCTGCGATGTGACGGCGAAGACCATATTCCGTGCCAAGTATTCAGATGCCAATGATGATGTACCGACGGAAAGGGAAGCTGTCATCCGACACGATTCGCACGGCCTAGAGGGCATTGCCATTGATTGGGTGGGTCGCAAGCTGTATTGGCTGGACAGGCACTCAAAGAATCTGGATGTCTCCGAGCTGGACGGCACCAAGCGCAAGACTTTGCGCAGCGGCGTTGTCGATCCTCGCGCCATTGTCGTGCATCCGGGCATTGGATACTTGTATTTCACTTCTTGGCATCTGCAGGCCTACATAGCCAAAATGGGCATGGATGGCTCCAATTTTACACGCATTCTTAACTGGAATGACGGTATCGCCTGGCCCAATGCTCTATCGATTGACTACTTTACGGATCGCATCTACTGGGCCGATGCGCATTTGGACTATATTGCGTACACCGATCTGGAGGGTCGCCATCGGCACATTGTGCTCTCTGGCAACAGCGTGCCGCATGTTTTTGCCCTGAGCCTCTTCGATGACTTTATCTACTGGAGCGATTGGAATCTGAAGGCGATTGTGCGTGCCAATAAGTTCCATGGCGCAAACTATACGGTGCTCCGGAATACAACCCATCGTCCATACGATCTGCACATTAATCATCCACTGCGCCAGTTGCCCTACACCAATCCCTGCGGCACCAACAACGGTGGGTGCTCGCATCTCTGCCTGATTGCGCCACCACCGGAGTCCACATACCTAAACATCGAGGGCTACATTGAGGAGGGTGCGCCCATTTACAAATGCGCCTGCCCCAATCAATTCTATCTGGCCCGCGACTCCAAGACCTGTATAGCCAACTGCACATCTGGTCAGCATCTGTGCGGTGGCAGCGACGAGAAATGCATACCCTGGTTCTGGAAGTGCGACGGCGAAAAGGATTGCAAGGATGGTTCCGATGAACCAACCACCTGTGCACCGCGCCACTGCCGCGCAGGCACTTTCCAATGCAAGAACACCAATTGCACCCCATCGGCAACCATCTGTGACGGCGTCGACGACTGCGGCGATGGCAGCGACGAGCAAAACTGTGACCTACCCTGTCCGCTCTCCGACTTTAAGTGCAAGACCAGCGGCCGATGCATACTCGACAGTTGGCGCTGCGACGGTGACGCCGACTGCAAGGATGGCAGCGACGAGGATCCCCTGGTGTGCCGTAAGTATTATGCTCTATCTATCTATATATAATTGAATTCATCTAACATATTTGTCAACAGATAAGCGCAGCTGCGATCCAGAAACAGAGTTCGCCTGCAAGAACGGGCGCTGCATACCGCAGCTGTGGATGTGTGACTTTGACAATGATTGCGGCGACGACTCCGACGAGCCTGCGTATATGTGCCGGCAACGCAACTGCACCACTGGCTGGCAGCGTTGCCCGGGTCAGTCGAACTACCGTTGCATACCCAAGTGGCTGTTCTGCGATGGCAAGGACGATTGCCGCGACAATAGCGACGAGATGCCAGAGAACTGCCCCAAGTGCTCCGCGGAGACGGACTTCAAGTGCGGCAACAATCGCTGTATACCCAAGTAAGTAGCTTTGCCCAAATCGAAAGCTGTACAGCAATTCACCTTTCCGGAACATTTATCTTTCTTGCAGGCAATGGATGTGCGACTTTGCGGATGATTGCGGCGATGCTAGCGATGAGAACGATGCCATTTGCAAGGGACGCTATCGCGAATGCTCCGAGTCGGAGTTCAGGTGCGGCAATGGCAAGTGCATCTCATCGCGCTGGCAGTGCGATCATGAGGACGACTGCGGAGACAATTCGGATGAGATGAGCTGCGAGGGATATCAGTGCAAGAATGGCACCTTCCAGTGCGCCTCCGGGCACTGCATTGCCAGCTATTTCCGCTGCGATGGGGATCGTGATTGCCGCGACATGTCTGACGAGGTTGACTGCCCGCCTCGATTCCCAGGCGGACGGTTCTGCCCGGAGTCGCGTTTCCAGTGCACCAACAATCTGTGCGTCTCTCTGACCGATCTGTGCGACGGCACCGATGACTGCGGCGATGGCAGCGATGAGGATCCAAAGGTCTGCAGTGACTTTAACTGCGACACGCTGCGCCGCTTCCAGTGTGCCAACCATCGTTGCGTGGCCCGCTACCAGATCTGCGACGGCATCGACAACTGCGGCGACGGCAGCGACGAGAACAACATGACACTCTGCGCCAGCAAACAGAAGCCCTGCGACCTGTATACCCAGTACCAGTGCGCCAACAAGCACTGCATCGAGCGCGCCCAGGTGTGCGACTACTCCGACGATTGCGGTGATGCCAGCGATGAGCTGGGCTGCCACCATACGAGCAGCTGCTCAGAGCAGAGTCGAGGCGGCTGTCAGCATCATTGCCACAATCTAACCGACGGCGGCTACATCTGCACCTGCTATCCGGGCTATATCATTGCACCAGATAATAAGAAAAAGTGCGCCGATGTGGATGAGTGCGCGACGCGGCAGCACACGTGCTCGCATCAGTGCCACAACATGAACGGCACCTACTCCTGCAGCTGTCGCGAGGGCTTCCATCTGTCGGATGGCGCTAGCGGGGTATGCAAAGCTGAAAAGGAGGATGTCGTGCTGGTCTTTGCCAATGGGCCAGAGATACGCGGACTGGATTTGCAGAAGAAGGAGGAATTCGATGTGATTGCCTCCGAGAAGCGCATCGAGGCTCTTGACTATGATGCCCAACAACAGATCGTGTTCTGGGCAGATAGCTATGACAAGACCATCAAGCGTTCCTACATGGTGAATGCGTTGGACGGACAGGCGAAAATCGGTTTTGCGCAGGATCTCAACATGAAGGGCGGCTCCAAGCCGACGGCTGTTGCTGTTGACTGGCTGGCCTCGAATCTCTATTGGACCGAAGTGGACCGCACCGGCTCCAAACCGCGTGGTCGCGTCATGGTGGCCAAAACGGACGGACGTTATCGCAGATCGATTGTGAATGCCGGCTTAGAGGTGCCCACCTCTATAGCGGTGAATCCACAACTTGGACGCATCTATTGGGCCGATGCGGGCTCCGCGCCCAAGATTGAGGTCTCTTGGATGGATGGCTCCAAGCGCCGGCCGTTAATCACGGAGCAAATACGTCATCCCGCTGGCTTAACCATAGACTACTCGCAGGATCACATTATATACTGGGTGGATACCAAGCTGAATGCCATCGAGTCAATGCGTGCCGACGGCTCGCGCCGCAAAGCTATCGTCAAGGGCGACCAATTGCGCCATCCCGTCTCGCTGGATCTGTTCGAATCGAACATGTTCTGGGTTACACGCGACACCGGTGAACTGCTGCGCCAGGATAAATTTGGCCGCGGCGTTCAGGTGGTGGTGCATCGCAACCTCGTCAATCCGTCCGGCCTCAAGGTCTACCACGAGAAACGCTACAACACCTCGCTGCGAAATCCATGCTTTGAATCCAGCTGCTCACATCTGTGCCTGCTGGTGCCTGGCGGACATCGCTGCGCCTGCCCAGATACCTCCGGTCCTCTGCCCTCGCATCGCAGCACCGCGGAGGTGATCTGCGATGCGGCTGCCGAGCGACCACGACCCGCTCCACGCATCTGCCCCTGCCAGAACGGCGGCCTCTGCAGGGAGGACGATCGCGGCGAGCTCTACTGCGAGTGCCTACCGGACTTTAAGGGCGAGCACTGCGAGCGCAGCACGACGGGAGCCTTCGGTCATGGCGGCGCTAATGTTACCGCTGTCGTGGTGCCCATCATGGTCATACTGCTTGTCATGATGGCTGCCGTCGGCGCCTGGTATGTTATCCGCAAGCGACCCTTGTAAGTACCCCAAATATGATTACCCCCAAACGATCCGAGCCAAATGATGCGACCCTCTGTTTGTTTATTTTTTTTTTTTTTAACAGCGGCAAGCTGGCACGCATGCCCGCAATGACATCGTCCCAGAGCGTCACCTTCCGGCACGGCTCGAACGTGGAATTCAGCGAGAGTGGATTCCCCGGCGCCTCGGCACCCGGCGGAAATGATATGGCGCCCATTGAAGGCTACAACCTGCAGACGGTAAATGCCAACAAAGCGCGCGACTTTGCCAATCCCATGTACGATGCTGTACAGCTGGGCACCACCAACGATCCGGGCATGAGCAATGGCTCAGGTAAGAGTGATGTGTAAAAATGAAACGACATTATTAAGCTAAACGTTTCCCCCTATATCCACACATTATCAGGCATCTACGATGTGCCACAGGAACCGTCCAAGTCAAAGGCCATGGGCCATTCTGGCTCCTTTACGGAGCCCGCCTCGGCTATTATTGCGCCCAGCAGCATTACGCACAAGTCATCGCCGCAGCTGCAGCTGCGCACACGGGAGCTGGACCCATCAGCAGACACCGGCAAGGATACACAGTATCTGGTGGAGGAGGATAAGTCAGAGTGCTGATATAAAGCAAATCAGGCAGCGGTATCGCGACCGCTCAACTGTCGACGTCAGCAGCGGGCGCAGACGCGGCCCAACAGTTATCCGCTGCACGCATAGCACCGACCCAACCAACATCAACAACAGCAGAAGCAACAAAGGCAACAACAGCAGAAGCAACAACAGCAACAACAACAACAACGACAACAAACACAACAACAAACACACCAGCAACAACAACAACAACAACAGAAGCCACAACAGGGACAGAGCAAACATCACAAATCTTGGCATGCCACCGCCAGCGAGGGCACCACAAAACTAACCACAAAAGTCTAAAGTTAGATATATCAATCCTTATATTTATATATATACGTATATATGATATATGTCGAGGCATAGATCACAGCTGCTAGGTCTACTGTCCCAATGGGATTGGGTGTTCCCAGTTCAAGAACTAAACTGGGAAAAGTTTCCCGTGCATACATATTCCAAAAACAATAATTGTGTGTACTTGCATATATATGTGCATATGTAAATGTATATTTGCTGCACCCCTTCGCTGCCTCCCCCCATTAGCCCCACTAACCCTGGTCCGCGCTTACATATTTTACGCAAACATATCCTTCGGAGACGAATTGAGAGCAAGTGAGCACTCCGTTAAATTAAACATAGAAAAAAAAAAACAAAATCTAACTGTTGCAATTATTATTATATAAATTTATATATATATATATACATATATATATATATACACTATACACTATACACACTATATACACTATGTACACTACGTTAGGCGGCGCCAATTCGGTTCTAAGCTGAAGCGCCCCCAGGACACGGCCGAAGAACAAAGCCAGCGAATCTCTAAATTTAAGCGCCCGAACAAAACCATTTTAAGAGTCAAATTTTGAGGCCCATATTCAGAGGCACTTTGTGTCACATACACATACACACACAACTACACAGCAAATAAAAAACAAAAACAAAAAAAGAAAAGAAAAACTAAACAAATCTTTGTAAAGCCAAACTGTTTTTTTTTAAGCCATTTTTGCGCCAGAATGCAAAAAAAAAAATAAAATGAATTTGTAAAAAGGCATAGAATATATTTTTCTGAACGCTAAATGACAATATTAACTATATATATATATATATATCTATCTATGTGTATATGTATACAAGGCAAAAACCAACGCGACGATATAATTAAATGTATGTATGTATGTGAATTTGTATTTGTTTAAACTTTAAACAAAAGGCAGACATCATTTATAAGCTAAGCGTCATTTTTCCAGCGCAAAACAAAACAAAAATAAACACAAAAGACAAAAACTAAGCCACAACCGCAACACAGCAAAAACAAACTCTTCAAGCGAAAAATGTATATTTTTCTAAAAACAAAAAATAAAAAAAAAACAAGCTTCATAACATAAATGTCAAAAACATAAAAACAAAACAAGCGAAAACAACAAGAAATAATGAAGATAACACTTTTGTGCTTACAAGTTTAAACAAATGAAAGTATGTAGTTAAATGCGTATAATTTAATATTTATTTTATTACACACATTAAATATTTTAAAGTAATTTTTGTCTGTGCTACATTTGCATTTTTTTCCTGTGGTTAAGTTTTATATGCGTAAACATTCCAAGACATTCCATAGTGCATGATCCATGTTGAAGTTAATCAGCCTCTCTAAAATTTTGGTATTTAAATTTACTTATTATATTTTATTATTATATTTTTTTAAAATATATTTTGCTTGTAGAACAAAAGCGAAGCTTTGTTTGCGTGTGTAATTAACCATTTTTTTTTTTTTTGTTTAAATATTTTAACTATGTAATGTTTTAATTCTTCATTTCTATGTAATGTGTTTGGTCGATCAAAAGTTTTGTAAATCGTGCAAATCTGTGCTTCCTTTCAGTTAAGCGTGTTTTTAGCATAAATTTTAGTTAAAAAAAGATGAACTAAATATGTATGTATATGTACGCTTTTCCAACCAAGTTGATGGCATCTGCCTATTAGACAACCTGGCTGGCCTTACATCTATATAAATCTATATATATATATATATATAATGTGAAAAGATATGAAGAGAGTATGTATATTTAATGTCAAGTGAAAGAAAACTATTTGTTGAATGAAATTAATTTTTTTTTTATTATACAAAAAGAAAAACTAAAGAAAAAACTAAAATAAAAAATAATAAAAGAAAAATGTAAAAAAAAAAAACCATCATCGGTTTGAGTTATTTTACAATTGCCCCCTGCACTGAAAATATTATACATTATTTAAATATTTTCATACACAAGATGCGGGCTAAATTTGAACACAACCCATAATTGGTATCTATCAAATATGTTTAGATAAATGCCAAAGGGGCCAAAGGGCTTAACACTTTGCGACTGGCTCTCAATCGAAAGTTTTTTTTTAATGTAGAACCGAGCCATTTCTTGGTTCGGTTTCAATTGTTTCGGACTAATTTGTTTTTTAAGGTTTGATTCACAGTTAAAGCTTAATTGGAATTCCGGGTTGGAAGCAGTCAGCGATTACTTTTTGTTTGTTTGTTTTATTGTTTGTGCAAATAAATAAATTGATATAATTATTTGTGCTAAATACTACGGCCTAGACATAAGGGACAAATAGTTCGCTCGATTACAACGTTAGTTTTACAGTATACAAAAAGACTGTCTTAGGCTAAACTATGTGCATAAAGGATTGCATCATAAATGTGTATTATACTATTATTTATATGTTTACAATCAGAGTTATGCATAGTTACATGTATGTAATTAGGTTGTATTTACTTATGTTTAGACTTTTAGGAGAATTGCTTAAGTCTTGGTGAGGCAGATGATAATCGTCTTACTTATAAACGTAATTTTTAGCTTAGATCTTTAAGAAAAAAATATAAATTACATCGCCATCCACACGCGCACACGCGCACACACACATATACACACACTCACAGCACGCTGGCACACTACAATGCATGGGTGTGTGCAATGTACTTAGCTGATATATGTGGTGTGAATGTGCATGTCTAGCTAATCACTCGTTTTTAGCCGCTTTACCGGCCCGTCGCTTCCCTGGGAATTGGAGTCCTCCGAGAAGGGCATGCTGGACACGAAATCAGCTCCCTGACTGTCGCTTACCACTGAGAAACCTGCAAGTGGCAAAGGGAAACATGATAAATGACAAACACTGCGATGAGGTCACGACACATTAGAGCCCACTGTACTGCTGCACCACACACTCACAAGTATTGGAGTCCTCGGCAGTGAGGCCGGCGTAGCTGGGCGTTATTTGCGGCGGAGTGGGTGTGCCTTTCTGGGAATTCTCCTTGTCGCTGATCTTGTTGTTTAGCTGTAGCTTTGTCTTTTTCTCGCTGTTGGACGAAATGGGCACCCATTTGTAGATCTTCATAGTCGTATCGCTAATGGTCACCCACTTCTTTTCCCAGTGCCGCACCTTGTCCACGGCCTGCATGACGCGCTTGATATCATCCTTAGCGCGACTGCGTGTCTCGGCGCGCACACTACGTGACATGTTGGCCAAATCTGTGAGTGGGGCGGTGGCGTCTGCCAGACGGCGGTAGTACTGTTGCAGCTTAGTCGGCAACAACGCGGGCCAGCTTTACAAGCGGAGATATTTAACAACTTTGGTAACGTGCTGAGCCACTGCCCCTGACAGTGCTGTTGTACTGAATCGAACAGTAATGATAGGCTTCTCCTTCCAATGTTTGTGAAAATGTTTTTTCGAAAATCTGAATTAAAGCGAGAAGCGAAAATACATTTGTAGGTAAGTGTTGAAAAGTTTCTGTTCAACTGAGTATGTTGATAAATATTGAAACAAGGCGATGTATCGATATACAAAAATTAAGCAACATTATTATAAGTATCGATACTTAAATATTATGACAGATCAATAACGTTTTTGATTGTAATATAATGTTTTCGTATATTGATTATTTTAAGGTTTTGATTAACTATAAAAAGATATTTAAATATATACAAGTGCAATGATCCGGCTTTAATCGGCACATCACCAGAAATTAGTCGATAGGCCAGTCAAGTGAGCGTTACCTGACTTTTTAATAAAACAAAAGAATGTTTTATTAATGTAACAAAACATTATATTTTAGGTCGGCGCTTACGTCAGTCAACAATATTTTATAAACTAAATTACACACCAATTTGTATAACAGAAAAACGATATTAAGCACACCGTGCTATAGCACTCAGCTTCTGCACGTGTGCAGGCCCACTACATATTTGTAAGAATTAATTAAGCAAAAGCTTAAATTTCTGAATGAACTTTAAGTATTCAAATATAAAAAGAGATCCAATGCTGATAGTTATATGTTAATTCTTATACATCCTCGTAAAATTTTATTTTTTTGTACTTGTTTATTAATCGAATAGTGTCGATAGATTCTATATAAGTGCATGTGTGCATTGATTTCGACATGTGATCGTTGCTGCGCTACTATCCGATAATCATATTGGAATTTTATATTAATATATTACAGTCAACTATTTGAAATTATTATTGATACTTTTCGTCTGTAAATACGCTTAGCTTAATAAATAAGTCTTATTTTTTAGTATCAACTATCGCGTACTCGATTAATTAAGTGTTGTAAAATTGATATACTATCGATAAGTATAAAAGGCATTTACACGCTGTTAGTCGCTACTGGCTTTAAGATTGCATTTACAGAAGCCAATTTTTTCGACAGACGACGGGCGAGGAAATTATGCGCAGCGCGTTGTTGTGGTTATTTTTTTTATTTATTTTTTCGTAAATATATATATACCCAAAAGTGCATAATTGGAATGAAAGGCAAACATAAAGTGAACGATTCGCAAGTGATGTATGTGCATTTGGCTTTGGCTTTCGACTGAAAGTTGAGCGCACGATATTGCAGGCAACGCCACCATCATCGTTTGTGTGCGGAGCGGTGTGGTTAGCTGTGGAACGGAAAGAGGGGAAGAGAAGCGAACGAACGGCGAGGCATATCGCAAAAAAAAGTTGCAGCAATAGCAACAACGTGCGTGCGTGTGTGTAAAAAAAGCATTAAAAAGCCAGAATAAGAAGAAGCAACAGCGGCAGCAGGAAAGAAGAAAAAACGCAAACGAAACGAAAGAACGCAAGGTGGGAACCAAGAACATCGAACGACAGCAAAACGGGTGACAGGCGCGACAAGAAAGACAAGAAAAACAGGAGTACTAACGGCATACAAATATACTAAAAGGGCGAAGACGGCAACGAAAACAACAACAACAATAACAACAGCAGCAGCAACAACAACGATGTTAGCTAACGCCAAGAACAAACAATTCAAATAGTTTTCATTTGGATAAAGCAAAAATCGCGTTTGCCGCTTGCCCCGCCGCCACGCTGTGTATATGTGTGCGTGTGGGTGTAGGTGCCTGTATGTGTGCGTGCGAGCGTGTGTGTGTGTGTGACGATGTGTTTTTATAACACCGCCTAATTCGCAGCCAGCAACAACACAACGCTAGCAAATTATAACAGTAAGAAGCTGCAGCTGAAGCTGGAAAAACAACACCAACAGCAGCAACTACAACAATCGCTCACTTGATCCCATTTCACGCGTCGCCTCGCCTCGTCTCGCCTCTACGTCTCTTATGTTGTTTTCTGTCTGTCGCACTTGCAGTTGCACACGATCCGGCATCGCTACGTCATCGTCATCGTCATCGAGCTATCAACCTATCGACTATTGCATCGGCAGTCATCAGCATCATCATTATCACCATCATCATCACCGCCATCATCATTATCATTATCATCATCGTCACAAGCTCCAAAACGGCGACAACAACTGACGTTGCACCAACACCAACAACAACAACAGCAACAACAGCAACAGCAAGAAAAGCAGCAACACAATGCCCAAATGCGATGTGAAAACCCGTTACATTCCGGCGACTTTCGCATGGATTGTGCTGCTACTTACAACATTTCTCTTCTTCTTTTATCCGTAAGTATCCAAATATATGCTCTATATAATTATGTGCGCCAAAATACAGATGGGTGCTTGACTTATAACATTAATTATCGGTTATATTTACATCTCTCGAATTACCGAACTTCAAAATGTAACCAACCGAAAAGTTCTCTTTAATTACATTTTAGAAAGGGGTATATACCTAGCATGAATATAGCTTTAGTCTGGGCGACTTTTGGCCCTTTTCTTCTTGATGATAGTTTTGAATAATATTTAAATATAATATCTGTGTAATGTAATAGAATATGTTGAACTGACTTTCGGTCTATCTATCAAATGAATATCCACATAAATAGTATATATATGTATATATATATATATGTATATATAGATCCCCGCACATATATATATCCCTATACCCTGTACCCATCGCAAGGATGTCTTACTTTTGCTCGCATTTGTCTTTTTGTGATGTATACAAGCTAGTAGGTACGGGTTACAGGGTATATACCGGAAATATACCGGAACATTCTTGTCTTCCTTTTGCGATTTTTTATTCCTTACTGGGCTGGGCCTTCGACGGAATTCGTCATTCATTATTCGTTATTTACTTTGCGCTCATTTTCGTGGACAATAACGAAGCTGCATCAGGACATCAGGACATCAGGACAACATCAGTCATCCCCTCTAGTCACAATGGTTTTGTTATTGTGGGGCTGCTCGGCTTGCAAATAGTTTTCCGATGACTTTGGCCCTTGTAGAGCAGTTGGAGATTGAGTGGAAATTAGAGCGGGCTGAGAAGAAGCAATGGAAAATGCATAATTGCAATCAGGAGTAAAAAACCGACGAAAAGACAAGGAATCGACATGCTAATCCAATACAGAGCGTGGCCAGCACGTGCCGTGGGGTGTTTCACCTATTTTCCGACCATGTGAGACTACTTCTATAGGTTTTAATATGTTGGGGGCTTGAATACGGACTTGAAGTTTATTAAATGAATAAAAGTCTTCTTCTGTTTCCACCAATTTGCAAGTGTGGAAAATTAGTGGAATCGGAAGTATTGAAAGCTTTGATTCATGTTAAAAATATAAACATTGCAATATGAACGAGTTTCATTTAATTTTTTTATATCGATAAATATCGATATGCATGGTAGAAATGATATATATATATATGGCAGTATACCCTGTAAAATGCATTTTAATTTCAAGTATCATTCATTGAGTTATACTCGAAATTTGTTTTCTTTTCATTTCTTATTTAATTGAATTACCAATGTGCGGAATGTGGCGTTCGTTCTGGTCTTAGGGATCGAGATTTGCATTTGGATCGGTTTTGGTTTTGGTCCTAGGCTGGTTTTGGTTCATGTTTCGCTTAGATTCAGCTTAAGGGATGAGATGGCGAGCCAGGGCAATTCGTATGTGCGTCAACTTCAGAAGGCCAAGCATTTGTTTTTTTAGAATTTAAACCAATGGACATTCTGGCGCTGCAGAGGGGAGAGGTCGTGGCGGACGATCGTTTTGAATTTCAAATGTTAGAACAATGTTAGCTGACGGCAATGCTTTGTTTTGGGCCAGCTGGGCGCTTTATGGCCATTGCTTGGCACGCGAATGCCACAGGTTGTGCGGCCGAACGTATAAGGGTGCACGACCAGCAGATACCCTGTAATTCTCCGGTACGCACACAAATACCCTGCAAGCTGCGGCTATGCCCTTTGCTTCTCAATTATCTACTCTCTATATTTTGTGAGAAATTAAAATAGAACAAAATTCTATAGTTCTTACTATTCAGTAAAGATTGAATGGGATAAGACTAAATAGGTTCCGCGATGTCTTCTACTGACTTCTACTTGCAAATTCAATTTTTTCTATTGGTACAGGGTATAACGAAACCATCAAATGGAAGCAACCCCCAACAACGATGACGACGCGCCCTGAAAAATTGAAAAAAACAACAAAACAAAACGCGCCAAGCACGCGAAAATTGCGAGCAGAGCGAGCATCAACAAAACAACAAAAATAATATATATATATGTATATATATATATATAAATTGAAAACGCACAGCAATATGTATATATATGTATGTATATACATATATATGTTTATATACATAAAAGTTTCATGTGTATTGTGGCAAACCGATAGCAGCTACAGCAACAAGAACCATTTAAATGCGTCACTTTAACGCTTGCCCCTCCCCGCCAACCTCCACACTGTCCCCGCCGATGGTCACACCATTTGTTTTACCTTGCCCCCTCCCCCTGCCGACCACACACCCACCACCTTCCAAAGCAAGCACCAGGCAACCGTTGAAATTGTAGAAACCGCTGCTGAGCGATTTGCCTTGCGACGGTGTCGAATTTTCCACCAGTTGCCCAAAGCGCGTTCACACACAAACATACACACACAAACACACACATACAGACAGACTGTGGTGTCAGCTTTTTGCTGTTATCTATTTGATTATTCCATTCAAGTGACCAATTCCCAGGCAGAAACGAACATAAACTTTCTCAATTTCTAAATTTAATTGGAATAGCTTTTCCTTAAATACTTGCCGCCTTAACTACTCCCCGCACCCTCTACCCTAACATCAGAATGGAAGTTTATATTTTAAAGCACATGACGAAGTCATTAATGAATTTGTGTGTTAAACTCATGCCTACCTTTACCATACACAACGACGTTTAAATTGCCAAAAAACGGTGCATTCACGAGCAAATCAAAAGAACAATTTTCATTATTATTGTTAACGTCCCATTCCATTTTCGATTTCTTAGTTACTTTTGTTAATTTTCCTATGCATGAATAATTGTTTTCAATTTTCATGTATGACAAAGAACAATTAAATACAAATACATGTATAAATACATATATGTTGTATTGATTTATAACTATTCCGAAATAAACATGAGTTTGCAGGTTGTTTTCCTTGATAAAAATAGTTACCTGAGTAACACGATGATAATTAATAAAGAAAAGTGTAATACTTTTTGGGATTAAAGGCTTCTTACATAAACTTGTTATACCCTAGCAGAGGGTATTATAATTTTGCCTCGAAATGTGTAACGCATAAGAAGGAGACGTCTTCGACCCCATAAAGTATACATATGTATATATTCTTGATCATTATCAACAGCCAAGTCGATATAAGTTTCTAAGCGAGCTGGTCTCTTAGTTTCAAAGCTATGGTCGGTTCGGATCAGTATATCATATGGTTCCTATGACAGCCATATGATATACTGATCCGAACCGACCATAGCTTTGAAACTAAGAGACCAGCTCGCTTAGAAACTTAGATCAGTCTAAAATTAAGTTCTTGGATGGAAAACTTGTTGTTTTCTAGATATCTTAACCATATTCGGCAACAACTATTTTCCCTGTGCTTCTTAGATACGGGCAAAGCACTATGAAAAGGTTCGGTCTGCAAGGGTATTAAATCTTCGGCGTGCCAAAGATAGCCCTTGTTGCTCGTTATGTTTATCTCTTATTTCATTAACTCATTGATAGTGAATATCAATTTTAAATTAATGATGCGAAATGGTTTTTGCTAGTTAAACTTTTAACTAACTAGAACGATAGTAGACATTGTGATACAGATATGAAAATTATTTGCATATTGTCACTGTCACAATCATGATGGGAGTAAATATTAGTTTGCTATACTTGATAACTTCTCCAAATGTATGCCTATCTTATTGTTGTCATATGCAAGCTATATTTTAACAGATGGTCAATCCGTTGGCCATACTGATAGTATAAACAAACAGCAATGTGGAAAAACCTATTGGAACTACGACCCGACTATTAAATGCACTCGCTCGCATGAAAACCAATTTCTGAAAAAATACTCCAATTAATGGAGGACATCAAACCATTCAAAATTGTCCCTTACACAGAATGAAATAAGCGGAACGGAATATGACGGCGAATTGCATGCTCTGTATATATACATACATTATTTTACCCCACTCGACGATGTAATGGAAACGTTTTACTGCCTTTTGCCTTTGCCGGCTCCATTGTCGCTCTGTGCGACATGAAATTTAATTTAATTGCGACTAGTTTAAACGTAAATTATTTTCAACATAAGCTCTGCCCAAGAGCATTTAAATAAGGGATATCAAAGCAGGGTTAAAGAGGCAAATTCACTGAGGGCTATAAAATATTATAGACTCTCAGTCTCTCTCTTTCTGTCGCTCTCTCTCCCTCTCACTCTCTCTCTCTCTCTCTCTCTCTCTCTCTCTCTCTCTCTCTCTCTCTCTCTCTCTCTCTCTCTCTCTCTCTCTCTCTCTCTTTCGCTTAACTTTGATAGCTTTGTGAAAGCATGTCGAGTGGCATGAGCGTTCCTTTAATTTGTATCGATCAAAATTCACCTGCACTGTCGGAAAATGCGTGAAAAATGTAAGATGTCGGGCATGACCGATTTGTAGCAGCTTTTAATCATAATTCAAATTAAATTGTGGATGTGTGTATATAACCGACCAATGGCAACAAAACTACAGGGTATCTGTCGAGTACTCTCACCTGTTTTACTAAGGGCTGTGTAAGGAAAAATTTGAAAGCACGCAACTGGGGATCAAAGTGAAAATAAAATATGAGACGAGTGACAACAGATGAAGCAAGTAAAATTTGTAATTAATTTCTTTTCTTGTTTAAGCTGAGTCGTTTCAATTAAGTGTTGCAATTTGTGTTAAAAGCCTTTCAGGGATTTAATTTGATTTTGGGTCGTCAAAGAGACCATTGATTCTCTCGTTCTTGTTGTTGTTCTTGTTATTATGTCGGCTTTTATTTTATTAGTGGCGCACAAATGACTTGTTTGTAATGCTATTTTGGGACACTTTAGGCTCTCAGTTGTTCGCCTTTGTCGGACATGAGTAGGCACATGCGTGTGTGTGTGTGCGTTCCTGAAGTGCTCCAAACCGAAACCATTTGACTAATTATATCAGGACAAACTTTGCTTAAGGCTTCAATTAGGCCACATTCTTAGACCCAAAGCTCGAGTTAAAGAGCATCAGGAGGCGGGCGCAG